TGGTTTGCAATGTCCCATGGGGAGATCCGTTGTCTGGTTCACCAGAAACGTCTAATGTGCCATCCACCGTGAATCAGCCTGTCTATTTATGGACACGTGTTTCTGGCTATTGGCCTCATCAGCGCGGTGCAGAGTACAGAATCTCAAGAATATATTCTGAACCCTTTTCAATGTGGTGCAGTGATTCCCATATTCTATTCTAATGTATTTTTAATCTCGAACTTTGAATATTCAGGTGTTGATCGATAGCATGGAATCCGTCACGGTGAATCCTTCTCCTTCAGCCAGCGAAGTCCAAATTCAGGAACAAAATCAAGTCAAAGAAATCCTAGTAGTTGGTTTGGGCAATAACGGATCGAGACCTGTTTTAATAGTGAGAATGGAACGTGACTTGTACATTTACGAAGTATTCAGATTTTCTAGAGGTAATCTCAAACTGAGGTTCAGAAAATTCAAGCACAATATTATTTATTCGCCTAACTTGGAAGGAAGACTCGATACGGAGAACTCAGATTTCTTCGCTTTGCAGGAACGAATCATCAAGCTGAGATATTTTGATAATATTTCCGGTAAGGTCAATAGTTCATAGTGAAAATAAGTTTCAGTTTGACAGTGTTTTCATTCCAGGTTATAACGGAGTGTTTATATGTGGCTCGAACCCCCATTGGCTATTCTTGACACCTCGTGGAGAGCTAAGAACGCATCCCATGGTTATCGACGGTGAAGTATTGAGTTTCTCGTCATTTCACAACGTGAATTGTCCTCAGGGATTCCTGTACTTCAATAAAAAAGTAAGTATCTCGTTTCAACTAGTTTTATTCAAAAAAATCATTACAGATATGTCCAGGAACAGTCAAAGTCCATTAAGTTGAATACTTCCTTCGAAGTTTTCTTATCAAGCAGTAAAAATATATCAATTTCGCTAATATTATTTATTCAGAGTTAGACATATTACTTGAACCTAAACAAGTTTTCAAGTTATCTCTTGGGTTATTTCAATTGGACTTGAATTTTTTTGTCTCGTAATTTATGTAGTAGTGATTATATACCGTACCTCCCACTCTTTCATGGTAATGCATGACCTTGTAGATTAGGAAGAGATAATCCCCACTAATATTACCTACTTTATAATATTATAAATGCGAATTTAAGTTTGTTACGGTTTCACGCGAAAACTACTCAACCGATCATCATGAAATTTTGTACACGTGTTCTTGGAGGTATTAGAAGTAACATAGGATGCTTTTTATAAAAAAAAAAATTTTTTATGTCAGATAAAAAAATTGTTTCTCAAAAAAATCTCAAAATCTAGCTACTTTAACGTCATCTAGAATTCCACATTGATTCATTTCTATTGTACTGACACTTATTTAATAGCATACGTACGAGCGAAGTCGCGGGTAAAAGCTAGTTATAAATAGTATTATCAAGAACATCGAGTTCTTATTGACAAACAGATAATAAAATAATAATGATAATGATCTGGAAATCACATGTTGTTGGTATCCCATTCAGTGTTGACAGTGATGGCCTGGTCCACATCGTCCTCAAAGGAATATGGACCGATGACATCGCCAGCCCAAAATCCACACCAAACAGTGACTTTTTTGGCTTGTATTGGATGCTCTCGGATCTCATGTGCATTGGTATCGTCCCAAACTCGACAATTTTGTTTGTTCACGTATCCATTACCCAAGTCGCCTATGGTCGTTTACCGTCCAGAAAAGACCTATACGAGTTTAAGCGGGCATACCAAACACTGAGACTTGTAAACCATGGTATATCAAATTCAAGATCTTGACACTTCCCTCACCTACAATATATTATAACTTGATTCATGTGAAAACACACAGAGATAAGTACCGGATGAATGGAGATAACCATAACTATTCCACAAGGACCAGATCCAATTTAGCAATTCCTCAAAACAGGTTGACATCCATCCATAAACAGTTGATAGGAATTAAATTATTCAATTCCCTTCCACAACCACTGAAAGATGCCCCATTAGTTAAATTTAAACTAGTACTCAAGCATCACCTCCTTCAAACCGCCTATTATGATATATCTGAATTTCACTACTCATCATGTTGAATTTTATATATACCTCAGGTTTACCATTTTTATATGTAATTATTTTTTATTAATGATTATTGTCTGTTAGGTACATGTTTACAATCATTTATCAATGAGACAAGAATGTTCAAAATACAATGTGGCAGTGTCTCAAAGATTTTGACAGACATTTCATCAATACCTGATGTTCTTTTATTTCTAATTTCTCGAATAACCTCTTTTAATTCATCTAGGTCAATGGTCAATGTCATGAATACATGACAACTAATTTGACAGATGTATCTTCAACAAAATGGCCGTTATCAATTATCAAATTTAGTTTTGAAGTGGTGGTGATTGGGAAAAGTGCAGTTTCACCTTTCATTGACAAAAATCATTCTAAATTGTAAAATCAGTCATTTCGCCTGCTCTTTTGTTCAAAGCATATTTTTCTTCCAGACGCTTTTATTAACCGTACATTTTTTCACAGTCCGAATTGAGAATTGGAGTTTTACCGACACACTTGAGCTACGATGCTCCTTGGCCAGTAAGAAAAGTACCATTGAGGTGTACACCCCACTTCGTATCGTATCACTTGGAATCAAAAACCTATTGTTTGGTGACTAGTCTCTCAGAACCCTCCAACCAGTATTACAAATTCAACGGCGAGGATAAAGAACTCTCCGTAGAAGACAAAGGCGACAGATTTCCGTATCCCCCGCAAGAGTTGTTCAGCTTGTGCTTGTTTTCTCCCGTCTCGTGGGACATCATTCCGAACACTAAATTGGATCTGGACGAATGGGAACACGTCACTTGTCTGAAAAACGTTTCTTTGGCTTATGAAGGAACACGATCCGGTTTGAAGGGATACATCGCAGTAGGGACGAACTATAACTATGGGGAAGATATTACTTCAAGGGGAAGGGTAATAATACTCGCAAAAGAGGGTTTTGGGACAAATATTAATGTTTCTGTTTCTTTAGATTTTGATATATGACATCATCGAAGTAGTTCCAGAACCAGGACAACCGCTGACTAAGAACAAATTCAAAGAAATTTATGCCAAGGATCAGAAAGGGCCCGTTACAGCTCTCTCGCAAGTCAAAGGGTTCCTTGTTTCTGCTGTGGGACAAAAGGTTTACATTCCCAATATTCATCATGATTTATGTATTGAATTTGTTTTGTTTCAGATATATATTTGGCAATTAAAAGATAATGATTTGATTGGTGTAGCGTTTATAGATACCCAAGTCTACACTCACCAAATCTTGACCATCAAGAATTTGTTGTTGATAGCTGATGTTTATAAATCGATTTCTCTACTGCGGTTCCAAGAGGAATGCCGAACTCTGTCACTAGTCTCAAGGGTAAGAATACTTGTTTTTAAAGTTGTTTTTGAAAGATTGAGAACTGTTACATTCACCATGAACTGTAAAACAAATTCGTCAAAACCACACTTTTAAATTTGCAACAAGTTGATGAGGGTTCCATATTTATTAACTTCTTTCGAGGATAAATCAAATTACAATTTAATCTGTTGATATCATGTAATTGTTACAAGTTCAGAAGAAGATTAATCTTCCTCTTGAAGAGGTAATAAGCTTGAGGTCACTTCAGAAGGTGCTCCAAATGGTTGCCTTGAACTTGTTGACATATGAACAGCCTATCTGATATTTCACGTCGAACATTTTCGAACACAGTAACTTCAATATCTCTACAAATATATATCATTCTCTGCCGTATATCCAATATTGAAGCAGGTTCAGTTTCGTACACCTTTTGCTTCAATTATCCACATAAAAAAGTACAAAGGTGTCAATTCAGGCGAGCGGGCTGGCCATTCTGTAGGACCTCGACGGCCAATCCAACGACCGGGAAAAGTAGTATCCAAATAGTTTCTTACTTGTCTGGAGTAACGTGGTGGTGCTCCATCTTGTTGGAATACAATATCCATATCGAATTCATTAGGATTCGCTTCGACGATTTCAGTGATGAGAGGGTCAACAATAGTTTCCAGCATATTCAAATACAGTTTCCCTGTTAAATTTTGATCAATAGATAAGAGGTCCTACAATATGGTTGCCCAATATTCCTGCCCAAACTTTAATTTTTTCTGGATATTGGGTATGTGTTTCCCGGAAAACGTGAGGGTTGGTGTCACTCCAATAACGAGAATTTTGTCTGTGAACTTTGCCGTTTAAAAAAAGTATATTCGTCACTGAAACAAATATTGTGGAGATAGGTAGGATGCCTTGCAATGGTTTCCGTCATGATTACGCAGAATTCTAGCAGGCCAGTCAATTGNACAGTATAGAATATATGATCGATAATGCTACTTTGGGATTTCTAGTATCCGACAGAGAAAAAAATTTAGTTCTGTACATGTATCAGCCAGAAGCCCGTGAATCTCTGGGAGGACAGAGGCTGTTGAAAAAAGCAGATTTCCACTTGGGACAGGGAGTCAACACGTTCTTCAAAATCAAATGCAAGCTCGGAGAACTCGGAGAAGATAAGAAACATTTCTCGGGGGCCGATAGGAGATTCATTACCATGTTCGGTGAGATGAAGTCTGAATTTTTATGTGCTTTTAAGATTAATTTCATTACGGCTTCATTATGAAAGAGTCAGTCCCGCTCGCAACACTTTAAATAACTCTGCGGTGGATGTTTTGACTTTGCTTCTATAATGACAACAATTATTCATGAGAGCACCGTCTCAAATGTCATAACCTCAATTGCCTTTGCAGACACCGTGACAACTGTCATAACCTCAATTGTCTTTGCAGACACCATGACAGCTGTCATAACCTCAATTGTCTTTGCAGGCACCATGACAACTGTCATAACCTTACCTAACAAACTGAAGGTGTTTACCTTTTCAAGTACTTTTTTCTATCAAAAGATTTTAAATTTTGTTGCAGCAACTCTTGATGGTGGTTTGGGATATATCATGCCTGTTCCGGAGAAGACTTATCGGCGACTGCTCATGTTGCAAAATGTTTTGGTGTCCCAGGGAGCCCATATTGCTGGACTGAATCCTAAAGCTTTCAGGGCTTACAAATGTTGGAGGAAATGGCAGTACAATCCGTCCAGGTGCGTAATTGATGGCGATCTCGTTTGGAACTTTTTGCATCTATCCATAACAGAAAAAATAGAGGTGTCGAAGAAAATCGGTACAAAAATTGAGGAACTCACCGATGATCTTACCGACATTCAAAAATTAACGAACCACTTTTAGATGTAGGGAGTGCAGTGACTTACGTTTTCTGTAGGATTGCATAAGATGTAATTGAACTGATTTTTTTACAAGCTTAATTATTTCTGAAGTGAGGAAAAGAAGGAAGAAATAGAAAACCACACCTTATTGGAAATACTGCCAATAGGGTTTATTTATTTATTGTGTTACAATAAATGTTTTTAAAATGAAATCGTTTAATTTAATGGTCTTTCTTTAATATAAATGAAATTTGAATTTCTAGGACTTTAGATATAAATTGGGAAGAAAGAAGAAAAACAAAACTGTCAGTAGTTAAAATTAGTGACATTTTTTTATTAGCCAAAATAGGATATCTACTGCAAAAACAAGACCTGGCAACACTGAACAGACCGCTCCTTACGGATGATTTTTTCATCTGCAGTGGATTGATTNTGACTCAGATGTCGCTCCATTGCAGATTACAACCATTTCTCTGTTTGTCATGTAGGATTGTATCCAATTTATTATATTTCGTGGAAACCCAAGCATTGCCTTTTTTTATGAAAAATTCCGCGCACACTGTATCAAACACTTTTGATAAGTCGAAAAATAGTGAGATTACATAATTTATATATATTAAGGGTGTCGAAGAGTCTCATTATTTCATCACTTCACAATGGAATAGAAGAGTACAGCCTGTCAAATCTAGGAAAAGACTTGAGAATCACCTGTTTCCTTTCTCGATGCGCGTTCGTTAGAGAGACGAGGGCAAAACAGAGAAAGAGAATCATCTTCCCAGATTTGACAAGTTGTACCCACATTCACAATGTTTTGTTAGGACAATTTTCTTATGGGAATTTAGAAAAAAACTGAAAAATGTAAAAATGGTTTATTATACAAAAATAAATCACAGAAGAAACTTACATAATCTTATAATATAATTAATCGGAACAACAAAAATATAAACATAAAATATAATTTATTTTTCTGTAATAATTGGCATCAATTATAAAACGAGTCAAATTAAGTCACTTGATATAAACGATAAACATTTGTCTATTACTTTTTTTACATACTGTAATCACAAAACGACGAAAGAACAGCTCCTACTAAAAATTAAAAGTTCGACATGTTCAGGTTATTACAATGCCTGTTCGAACCAATTATAATTAGATGGTGTCCTCAAAATTTTATCGAAACAACTCTTCTTGGTCATTAAAGCTAAAAACAACATTCATACTACCAGCGGCCAGCGTGAGTCCATCATTCGACAAGAAAATTTTAGCATCTTCGGAAACCAACAAAAGTTATATAATTCAAGAGTTTTAAAAGTTGAATATGTTTTGAATTTGATACGGAATCGTTCAGTTTGGAAGGTATGAAGGCGATGACAATTCAAACTGTCAATTATCGACAGTTAATTATGGCTGAATAATCGACAGTGTAGATAAGCAACAGTTCAAACCATTAATAATCGACAGTTTTGACTCTTAATTACAGATAATTGATAGTTTGAAGTGTCTGTCGTAGGTAATTGATAGTGCCAAGCATTGATTACAAAATGAAAATACTCGTAGCCTTGCAACACCTTCTTGGAAAGTTGATTGAATAATGAAATGGAACACTTTGAATGAACGTGTGAAAGCCATTTTCCAAGTATTTTGGCCGTGGTCTGCAGGTTTGTATGTCTAACGTTTCGTTTACTACTGCGGTAACGGACGCAGTGCCCGAATTGATGCTCGAATTGTTCCAAATACAGAAACTACGGAATTGGAATCCAATTAACAATGGAACGAGAAACCCAAGGGACTCTAGCATTCTTGGATGTTCTTGAGAACAGATGTGGAGATGGTTCAATGAGCCACAGAGTGTACAGGAAACCAACACACACAGACAGGTACCTGAACAAAAATTCTAACTACCAACCACATCAAAATATAGGGGTTATTAAAACGTCGGTTGAGAAAGCACGACTTATGACACGAAAATCTTTCTTTTCCTATTTTAAAAATGTTACAAACTGGATTGGATGGAAATCTTAGGGAAACACGGCGTGAAGCCAATATTTAGGCCAACAAAAACCATCAGAGAAAGTCTAAGGTCAGCTAAAGACCCCAGAGAACCTTTGACAACATCCGGGGTATACCGATTTTCTTGTAGCTGGTCTACATTAGAACCACGAACAGATGCTCTCAACAAATAAGGTACTCGCATCATCTCATTCAAATATATAGTATAACTTGATAAATATATAGAGAGGCAATAGAAATTCAAAGCCACAGGGATAATTTCAATAGAAAAGAAGAAGCGATGAATATCAATGAAATCTGGCTACATATCCTTCCAGGTACACAAAGTCAGGTAATCAAATTGAGAGAAACCAAGCCATGCCCAGCAATAATAATATAAAACCAGAATCAAATACAAACATTGTAGTTTCTGGGTTGGGGACGACGGGAACAATAACTCTAGCACAAAGTCGGGCACTACGACCGTTACACATCGCCTTTTACGACTACCGCAGTAGTAGACGAAACGTCAGACAAAAACCCAGGAAAATAACTTCAACACAGTTATCTCCGGCCGTGATAGTATACATTCTTTGATCATTTTGAATGAAGTTACAAATATCCATACTCTTACTAATAATTGGCTGATGTCTGTCAGAACACAACTATAAGAAAACCTAAACAAGTGTCTGGCGAATATCGTTTATATCCCGGTATTAGCCAAGGATGTAGTTGTTTTCTTACAGACAAACGCTCATTTTATTAATACTGTAAAACTTTATAGGGCAATATTTTGTATTTTATTTGATGTGTTAGTTTTCTTAGTGCTTCACTTATAGTCTAAATGACTACACAGAATTTCTAAGTAAACGGTCAATTTTTAATAACCTATTTTTCATTTTACTGTTTAGTCTCATTTTACTGATTTTCGGATTATAATAATCTACTATCAACTATTTTATGGATATGAAATTTTTAGGCAGACCATCAGGCAATGCAAGAAAAAATTATGAAAAATAAGGAATAAAACTTTCTTTTTTTTTACCACTTTTAAAAGTGATATGAAAAGATAAAGTTTTATTTCTCATTTTTCATGATGATCTCCTGCAACATAGTAACGGCTACATCCATCAATTCATAAAAAAAATTTGTTGTATTCAATTATAACAACATTTTTGGTGGGAAGATCTGAATTCAGCAGTTTTGATTTTATATGCTTTGATTTTTTGTCTAATCTATAAAATTGCACTGTGCTGAAATCATCTAAAAAAGTTAGTAAAACTGTTATTTTTCATTTAAAAACAATATTTTGATAAATTCATATCATTTGTGAACAAATACATGAAAATTTGATGGGTCTATTATCTAAACACAGCTGATCTCTTATTAAATGGTAAAAGACTTGGACTCCATAATAATATTGATCTTTACTTGACAATGTGAAGGCCAGAAAAATTCAGTAGCATGGAGAGTTTACAAAAAACTTGAAAATTCAAAAATGCTATGTGGAAAATGAATCAGAAAAATCATTATTTGCTGGGAATTTATTTTAGATTCCTAGTATTGTATTATTACTCAAACAACTTTGAATTCACTGCTCGATCTCAGAAAAATGGACAAAAAATATGCAGTTTGAATACAACCCACCTCACAAGTCAGAATTATGCAGTCACTTTTTCTGTATGACACTGATTTGAAAGAAATTGAAGAAATTATCAAGTATATAAAAAATGATTGATATTAGGGGGTGAAATTTCGTTGCACACGCCGATTTTGAAAAAAATGTGTAAACTCATGTATAGATCATGCATCCGAAAGAAAAAATAGGTACTCTCCTTCATTTCCAGAATTACAGACATCCAAAGTTCCGAAAGTTGAAACATTTCAGCCTTCTTTTCGCACAATACAAACTATAGAATCACAATTATTCATTCACATTCACACCTTGTTTCACCTTCTTTGACACTTTTCAGATTATTATTCATTATTCTTCCTATAAAAACTTGATTCAACAATGGATTCATTTTCTGGTGATATTCCTACATTTCAAGGTTATACACTAGTGACATTTCGAAAAAAAGGCGGTTGGTAACTGTCACCGACTACTATTCAAAATTCTTATCATTTAGTTAACCTCAAAAAGCAGCTCCGTAAATCAATAAAGTTTTTTATAGGAAAAATGTTGTTTATTAAACTGAAAAGAATCAAATAATGTGAATTATGAAGTAAAGTTGTAAAAAGAATCCTGAAAAGTTGCAACTTTCGGTACTTTGCAGGGCTGTAACTGTCCAAAGTTTACCCCTTCGAGAATCAAAGGCCATTTTAATCAACATATCCTTCTGCATAGGCCCGTTCTCCGATTTTCTGGAAAGATCAGCCCCTAGTTAGCTCTCATAATACCTCCACTAACTTAAATAATAGAATAATTGGCGAAAATGAAGCCGTGTTTTCATTCCTTTAAAAGGAAATACCAAGTTGAATAGTGATGAGGTGATAGCAGTAGTATTGTAATTTATCGAAGGCACTCTACTGTGTGAATCATGAAATAATGTAACAGAAACTTCAAAACTATGGAATCAGATAAGTTGCCTCTAAATGGTGAAATTCCTATCAGGACGAAGCCGTATACTGAAACCTCGACACTCTTGAAGAGGGCGTCTGAAGTCTTGCGTACCCCAAGGTTCACTACTGGGCCTGCTCCATCTTTTTGGTGTATATTAATGATTTTCCAATGATACTACCTCAATAATGTACAGGATATTGATTGTTGAGATGAATTAATTCATACTGGTGTGAACATAACTAGAAAATGGTGAAACCCAAACAAGCTTTCTTTAGATGTCTCAAAAACAAGTTCGTACTTTCAGAGGTCAGATCGAAAATATTTCTCTAAAAGAAGAGTCAATTGATGAGCAAATGTTATACAAAATTCCTGGGTTGACACACTGACGGTACATTGAATTTCGATAGTCATATTGAGGCCCTCAAAAGTAAACTAGCATCTGGCTGTTATGCAGTTCATGTCAAAACTAACGATCTCTGACTGTCTAACGCAAAGATAGTTCATTATACACTAACTGAATCTCACCCGAGATATGGGGTTGCCTTCGAGTCATGTCGACTATTATTTAGTAAGTATAAAAATCTGACAGTAGTAGCTCAGTGTGAAAGCTTTTACTAGGTTTTTTGGCCATGATCTGCAGATTTTTATGCCTGAGGTTTTGTCTACTACTGCGGTAAACATCATCAAAGCCATTGTGGTGATGGTCCCAATGCTCAAGATGTTGTTCCCAACGCCTCTGATGCCTACCGCAGTAGTAGACGAAACGTCAGACATAAAAACCTGCAGAACACGACCAAAAAACCAGGAAATAGCTTTCACACAGTTATCTTTGGTTGTGAAAGATTACATTCTTTGAGTAGTAGCTTTATTCATATTGGAAACGGCATGACTGATCAGTCATCATAAAAAGACGGTAACACATTACTGTGAGATTTTAACAAGACTAAAAGTGACTGCTAAATTGAGACAAAAAATATTAATAAACATCTCCAAAAAAGATTTGAAGGAAATTCATTCTGAAACTTTTCCCTTTTGTAATAAAATTGATGTTTCAACTTGTGCATCTTGATATTCGTCATTAAACAAGTGTGCTGTAATATTAGTGCACCTACTGTTTTGTAATATAGTTTTGTTTTCATTGACCTATTCTGCATATTCTGTTCAATAAACAAGTGCATGCACCTATGATAATAAGTGATATAATAGAAAATGTACTTTAAACTATTGCTTTTTTTCTACAAAATTTGATCAGAACATAAAATTATTACCGTGTGGCTGCGATTTTGTTCGAAAATTCCTTTGCAATGTCGGAGATTCAGATCCCCTTCGCCTTCGATTTCTTGTTCTTTTCTGTACTTTGACATTGACTTCATTGTCGCTTTGATTATTTGAATCTGAACAAGACTCCAGTTCTTTTTTCTCCATCATCTTGGTGTATACACTCATCATCGCTGGAGTGTAACCTTCTAAATTATCAGGAACATAGCTAAGATAAAAAAACGGGTTCATTAGATAAGTTATCACAAAAATATAAAATATCAATGCCTTATACTAGTTCAGTCGAAAGAATAAATAACAGAAAATAGAGACATTATTAAAAATTGTGAAAAATAGCCAGGTTACGTTTTGGTTCACTCCAGCAAGTTCTCCGACTTCAAATTTGGGATGAGTAGGTCAGAATACAATTTTGGAAAACAGTTTCATTTCAATATCTGTTATTTTTCCTTTTTTCACGAATGTACTTTTCAATATACTAGTAAATAAACAGACCCCTACCTTTCGCCCTTATATCTAGGCGAAGTTTCTCTATCTTTACATCTATTATAGATTTCCATCATTGCGTACGTGGGATTCATACTCTCAATGTCCGAGAAAGACAAACTAGCTACCCCTTGGTCACTTCCTTCTGTGGTTTTTCTTTCCCGAGCTTGTTTTATTATTGTTTCCGGATCCGTTAAAATTTTCGACCAATTCATCATAGTATCCGGTATTTTCAGATCATTATTGTTGTTGTTGTTAGTCTTGGCCTTTTTCCTCAGTTTGGGCCGCCGGAAAACGATGTTGGAATGCAACGGCATTAGAGGACTTGTCTTGAGAAAACTGCCGCAGGTGATTAATCTCACATTATTTCTTGCAGGGACTTGTTTTTTCTTTTTGATTCCCCAACCCTGCACATTATCAAAGTCCAGTATAGTGTCGTCTTTGTAACCATATGTTTTCATTGCTTTCTTGAAGATTTTTCTACAGAAATCGTAGTCTGGATTTTCCTACAAAATTCAAATGTTTGAATATTTAATTTTCATGGAAATGAAGGGCTTTCAAGAGAAATTAATTTTTTATGAAAAAAACATTTTCGCTTTCCACTTATTATTATAAATAAAGGGACACTTCCGAAGAAAGATTTAAAGCTAGTAAAAGTAGAAGGTAAAAAATACCTCACCCCACCCCACTTGCCAATCAACTATCATCTTTTCGAGCAATTCAATAACTTTCTCACCGATAGAACCTTCGCCAATCAGGACCAGCCCAAAAACGGCCTTCGTCGACTTCATCGAATCCCTTTCACACACTTTTTAAGCTGACGAAATCAATCAACTTGTATTACGTTGGCAAAAATGGCAAAGAATAAAAAAAAATGTTTATGGTAAACAGTTTCATTGAAAAAAAGATAAAAATGATGTAGATAATGTACTAAAGACTGAAAAATAATTCGGAAGGTTCTAGGTAGCAGTCATCACACCATGATTATCCACCATGAAACCCAAGTATTTTAATTCACTTACGAACTCTATTACATCACCTGCAATTTGTAATCTTATGTTGAGATTGTTGATGAGTGATAGCTTATAACCAGTTGATAACATAATATATTTTGTTTTGGAGGTGTTGAGTTTTAGTTTATTGCGATTCATGTACTTGAAAACATTTCTTAGTTCATTATTCATTTGATCAGCTACTGTTTCTATATCATCTCCTGAAATTGATAACAAAGTGTTGTCTGCAAAAGGGTTCATGAAATCACAACCATGGATGGTATCTATATCATTCAGGTAGATTTAAATTAATATGGGTCCCAAAACACTCCCCTGAGGTACCCCGAATATGACATCGCGAGATGATGACACTGAATCCTTTATTTTGGTTACCTGTTTGCGTTGTGATGAGTAATCAGTCAGCCATAACAAAACAGTTTCCCTGATACCAATACTTAGCAGTTTATTTAGTAATATGTGGTGATCAATTGTCTCAAAAGCTCTTTTAAGATCTAAAAATATGGCTATAATATAATGTCCTTTACTATTGATTCTTTCATTTTTGATATTGTGACTTGTAATGCGGACTCACATGAATGGTGTTTTCTGAAACCTGACTGATATTTTAGTAAAATATCATTATTTTGTAGATATTCAATGAGTTGATTATAAACTGCGAGTTCTAATATTTTTTCAAAACAAGGCAAAGTGTTGATTGGTCTAAATTCCCAGGATTGATTTGTGTTAGGGACTTTCTGAATTAGCACAAGGACACTGGTCTTGAGCTCCTTCGGGAATCTGCCAGTGCTCAAAGATGTATTTAAAAAATGCAACAATGCATGTCTTATAAAACCAAACGTTTTTTTAATAAGTTTGCAATTAAGTATTTCACTGATGTATTTCATTTCCACTCCGTTGATCAATTTAGACAGATTTGCTAACTCCAACACTTTGAATTTCTCAAAGGAGTTGTTAATCGATATAACATTGTTCTCATGTAGTGAATCAGATTGATCAATAGTGTTCACATTTTCTTGTACGCTATCAATAAAATAAGTTTTAAATGATTCTGCAATATCTAGAGAATATAATTATGAATGAATGACTGACCATTTATTTTGAAATAAATACTATCAGTAAATGTATTGCTATTAGTTTTTGGACTTACAATCTGTTTGAGTGTTTTCCACATAATCCTTGGATTTGACCTATTTTGATCAATTTTATCATAATAGTGTTTTTTTTCTTTGAGTTTCCGTAAATTCACACATTTATTTCGAAGAAATTTATAGTGGTTCCAATTTTCTTCAGTTCTATTATTTTTGAACATCTTGTAAGCTCAATCTCTTTTGTCACAATGTATTTTAACCTCGTTGTCATACCAATAAGCTTAAAACAATATCCAACGAAAAATGCTATTATTGTAAAAAAAGTGACAGGAGCTTGATATACAAAAAATATGACACAAAGCGCTCACACTTTTTTCACAATAACAATAATGTTTTTCGTTCGTTATTGTTTTGAGCTTATTTAAAAAAATATTTTTAACTATTCAGTTCGATGTTCTATAAAATCGTATATTTATTTTTCATTTTTTAGTTTCATGTGATATAAAAGCGTGTTTCTTAGTCTTTTCAAACCATATATTGTTTAGAAAAATTACCATTGATATTTTCCGATTCCGGAGAGGAAGCCTGAAAATCAGATACCAAGCCTAAGGCAGCAGGAGCCTGAGGAGGGTTACAAATAAGGCAGAAGGCGCGCGTGTTAATAAAAAAAATACTTTTTTTAAATGTAGAAATACATGTAAAGTGAGTTTGAATTATATCAAGACGTTACCTACAGTGCCATCTGCCCGAGAATAGATCAAGCAATAATGTCGATATATCAAGTGAATCGAAGGTGTAGCTAATATAAAGCGTGTAAAAAAAAGTCACAAATTTTCCTATTCATTATACTTATGTTATATTGCGACCACAATTTGAAAAATAATTTTTGTGCTGAACGACAAACAACTGAAAAAAATCAACACAAACTCCAACAAGAATGGTTAATCTGGAAAATTAGGGTATTTTCTAACAAAAAACGACATTCAATCACAACTCTGTGATGGTTCTTTCGAATATTGAAGAAGCATACCTAGCATTCATCTGGTAAAAGAAAATTGTTTCACATGGCCCTGATTGTTCAAATAATTTCAGTGTCTCTAATGGCAACTGACTCCCATCCTTCTTAATTTTCTATCAATTATATTAACATAAACTCTGGCCTCCCACAAATATATTTTTCCCAATAAGAATCTTGTTTAAGTAAAAAAAATCTAAAAACAAAAAATTGAAAGTTATCGAAATTGTCCCAAATCAGCTTCTGATAACGACTACAAATAAGGAGTAATCCACAAAACAAATTACTAAAGCCCAAAAAAAATATGTAAAGCAGATGTCCGCTCACCTCAAACTGCAGTCGATTCAGGTATTCACAATATTCCAATACGAAACTTGGAAAATCGCTATTGAAACTCAGCTCCAAAAAACTTTTCAAATTACTGAAACATCTGTTTTTCTTCTTCTCGACGTCCAACGGTTGCTCCAAGTCTTCAATCCACGGCAAACTGCCTGTCAACCAATACACTATGTTATACGCCAAACTCTCGAGGTCTGACCTCCTAGACAGCACTCCTTTGTGGGCGTCTCGAGAACAAAATAAAACAGTCCCTGCGTGTGCTCTACGCTGATCCGGGCAGAATTCTTTGTGTTCACCGTTGGACAACAAGTATTTCGAAGCTAAGCCGTAGTCTAGTAGAAATACACGATCAGATTCGGCAACGCCGTTTGTCTTGAGAGGGGTGGAGTTTTTGAGAGATGTAATGTCATTAACAAAGATGTTGAACTCTCGACGTGAAACCAAATAATCTCATCTTATTTAATAATATGTTCTGATCCACACAATCAAATGCCTTGGACATATACATAGACTATACATCTGGCCGTTTTCCCCAGAACTTCTATAACATTTTGCTCAAGCAGCAATAGGTTGATAGCCGTATACTTTTTCATAGAAAAATCATGTTGATTATTTACAAAACATTCTTAACAATAAAATTTCTACTGTATTTTAGTTTCAGAAACATATCATGATGTTGTTTACTGGAAGAAAACAATTTTCAGGAAATTAAAGGTTTTGCATGGAAAAAACTGAAATGCCAAATAACTAGATTCGTAATCAGCAATGAAAAGTACACAGTCCATTGAAAATATTTTCAAAATTCATCACAAACTGATAAAAATGAATAACTACTTGAATAAATCTATCGAACTACTTACTCATTTCTGATTTTGCAATTCTAAGATAACAGTTCACTTCGACGAACAGGGGGCCACTGGAGTGCTTTTCGATCTTGGCTACGAAAGAACTGTCGCTCTTAACATCTCTTGCAATGTTATCCGATGCTTCGTAAATCTCTCCAAATCCTCCTATTCCTATCGGTTTGCCTATTCTCCATTTCTTGGAGCACAGATCAGTAACAATTTCACCTTGTTTGAACTGAATACTGTTGACAATTCCACTGGAACTTTTCTTTCTGGGTGGTTCTTTATCTGATGATAAATCATGCTCGTAACACCTTCTGGGCATTTTGGGGTCCTTGAAATTGAAAAATAGGGTTGGAAACAAATGTAAAAATGTACAAGAACGGGTGGTTATTCAAAAATTGATGATTTGATATCACAATAAATGGTCATTCACACTTTATTTTGTTAATTTGAACTCACATGTAGTGGCAAAGCCTGAATTGTTATATTAAATCATATAGTCTGGTATATCACTGATAGAAAATACAAAATTCTTGTCAGAACTGACTCGATACTAGTAGGTATAGTGAATAGAACAATATTCACGTTACGGCCATCTTGAAATCGTTCTCTCCACATAGTCAACAGTGTTGCCAGATAATACTTTCTCAATTCTCTAAAGACAGTTTGAATTTATTTTAAACTGTAAGTGTTCAAATTACTCAAATTAGACTTCCTTTTCAGAACTAGTACAAATGTTATCAATGTTATTAGATTTTTTTAAGAAAGGCTTCGAAGTGACATTTAAAAAGTCAATAATTTCATATTATACCCTTGTACTCACACAAACAAATTCATTGATAAAAATGAATAAATTTGACAATAAAAGACTCTCAATAGATGTTCATTTCAATCATTTGCTAGAAAATGAGAAAGTCGTTCGAATGAATATTTAGTTTCGAAAGCTAACACTATAAGCATACAGTCACTTGTGAAAACAATCACCAAACTAGAAGCAATGTGAGTGGTAAGGAAAGGTTATTATTGCAGAGATATTTTGTTTGTACGAAAAATGTAACACGTAATGAATCGTTTTCAGTTCATTACTTGTACTGCTATTAGCATCATTTTCAAATATTCAGGATACTATAATTTCCAAAGAATTTTTCAAAAACAATTTTTGTCGGCGACTGGTCTTTAGTGGCTTCAAATTTCTCATAAATTGTTAAGAAAGCTTTACACCTGGCAACGCTAGTAATCAATCTGTACGTGCGTAGAAGAAAATATGTCACTTAAAAGTTGAATGAGCATGCGTGTCAGTTAGACATGCGCCCCTACTAGTAAAATATCCAGATTTCAAAATTAAATCCCATTTTATACCAAAAAATTGACATGAGGAGTGCAAAATCACAAACGGATATTCGAAAACCGTTAATTTCAAAAAATCAACCATTCAATATGCTCTTAGATTTAATGTTGCGGATTGGTTGGTACTGTTGCTAGGCAACGACGGATAGACTCAAAACAAATAATATAAACAATATGTACAGTAAAACTTCCAATTCGGGATAATGTAAGTAGATTTTTTCTATGGCAGAAGTGCATATTATTGGGGAAATTAGTCAAGGAAAAGATTTTCCCAAACAGCATTTATTTTGCAAGTGGCATATTCAAGTAGGTGAGTTATTTTTATTATATGCGATTTTTAAAAAGTCGACACTTTTTTATTATGCATGAAATATTATTTATTTTTTGCAGCAATATATTCATTGGTGTTGAATTACACTTAATAACAAATAGTTACTTGAAATTTCTTCGAGAAACGCCACAGCAGTCATCTTGACGGTGGTTGATTTTTAAAATTTTTAGGTAATAATTGGAAAATTGTTGAAGGCAAAAGAGAAGGTCAAACCCAAGTAAGTTGGTCACAGTTCAATAATATTTGCAAGTGGTCGTATCCAGTCGACATCCATTTATCTACAGCTGGAATTCAAGGTGCGTATTTCAAAATTTTTGGTAATTGAGGTGTGAGAGATCATTATTCAACAGTACCTACTTATTAAAATGCAAAAGTGGACACATAATCTGGGAAACTTTAAATTCTTCAAATTCCAGACCCAGCAACCGAACCTCATGATCATTCCATCAGATTTCAGCGTATCTCTCATCCACAATTAAAACTTTAATTTTTTCGTAATACAAAATTGAAAATTTTCAAATCCGCCAAAAACATCTCATTGGCGGCATCTAGTGGCTTATAAATGAACTTTTCCTACCCTCAGTTCCAGTTTTCACAGAGAGAGGGCCAGTTGTCAAAATTGAAATATCCTATACTTTCTAAGGATTGTTTTTTTATTATCATTGAGCTGGAGGTAGAAATGTGAAGTAGTTTTTTTTATTATTGTGAATATTCATATTCACTGGACTCTATTGTATCATTATTGTCGTTTTCTTTTTCTGCAATCTCAACATATGTTCCTCATACACCAAGCTCACTCCTTCAAAATGCGTGCAATCCTATAATTTTAAAAATTTTGCTCTTAAACGCTTCCGTTTAAGGTTGAAATCCTCCGACTTACGTATTCATGATTTTATTAATTTATTTGTATTGTCACACATTTAACCGATCAAAAACGCACCCGTAATATAATCCTTGATTATTTTTTTATCGTAACTTGAACAAAATTCTTTGTTTGAATGTTCTCAACTGTATTTGCTATATTATCTACTTGAATGTATCAACCGTCTATTCAATTTTGTCCGTAAAGCAGATGAAGATATATTGACACCTCTCACAAAATTTAGTGAGCCGGGGTAGGTCTCCTCTCATCTACATAAACGTCACTGGTTGAAAGAAGAGGATCCAAACTCCGGATGACTGATGACAGATACCATCCAGTACCATTTTGATATGCAGGCACTAGAGTTCATAGCCACTTTGTTGTCGGAGGAAGTACTAAAACCATATAAATGTTTTTTCCCGAAAGTTAAGCAGGTTGGACTCATTGTGTCCAAGAAACATGTGCTCTAAGCAAAGGCAATATGTCAAGATTGACCGCCTTCTACAATCTGGCATGATCTTGAGATTCGAAAGCTGAGAATGTATCATATTCCACCAAGGACTCCAATTATCAGAACAACCATCTTAACAGAGTGGTTTGCATAGGATATGCGGAGTTCGACGAGGAAATCTCAATGTTTCTTCCGTTTATCCCCTCTTTTCGGACGATATTCGTCTCGCTGGGTGCTGAAAACTTCACAACTAATGTCTTGCTCCGATGGCCAAGAAGAACTACTTGTATGAGTGGGGAATGAATAGCTCCAATGAATTCAGTGGTTCTAATTTCAATATTCCCGGGGCATAGGCAACACCAGAGTCCGTTAATACTGTAAAAGGGCGGTAGGTGATGATATCCTTGTCTTGCCGCAGGTGTAAAGTGGTTTCGGCTACCTTTTCATTCCAACTCGGTGTCAGAGTTGTGACCACCTCGTTCAGTGTCAGCCGCTCAAGCATCTACCCTAAAGACAAATGATCTGATTGCTGCTCTCTCTTAGTCGCGGACCATGCGATGAAGGGATTTCAGATTCTGTTGACTTACAGGTTCCATTCAGTACTATTTTGTTATGTAGACACTATAAGTCCACAATCTATCTGTTGTGGAAATTACAACCGTGGAACGGACGATTTGGGATGCAAACTGTTACGGACATGAATCACTTTTCGGGTCTTTACGTCGAGTTGATGTTGCTCCTCTCGAGTCCACTTCATTACATCAAAAGAGTAGAGTAAGATCAAAACGGCAAGCATACTCGTAGCATTAACTTTATTCCTCCCGACAGTTCTAGGTAAGTATACTTATGTATTTCCGGCATCTAGATGGTGCAGGATGCTTCTGTCTACACATCCTCTCCGTAATCCCCGCATTGTCATCGTTTGTGATAATTGTCCGTCGCGTATACTCTTCCACCACCCGTCCAACGACTCGTGGAAATCATTTTCTCCAGAGGTATAAAGTTAAAGATCATCCATATAAAATAAATGGGTTAACGTGATCTATTTGTCTCATCAGACTACTTCAACAAATCTGTATTACGGATGTTTTATTGTAGGTTGGCCAAAAATATATATTGAAGTTTATCACTTAGATTGGTTGGGGAGGGCCCATTTATTCGGATATGGAATTGTAACGGTACCAACAAGTCCAGGCACTCATACTCTCGACTGTTACACTTGGAGGCCGTTTGGTTCGCTGAAACAACGTTTCATTCAGTATTTTTTGGGAGGCGGTATTCAACTCAAATATCCCGATCAGATATTTTCTCCTTCAGAAAGATATAAACTTTCTACTGAGGCTATGGGCGTAGTGTCCTTTGAATTAACGGTACTGCTGAGAAATTTCACAAACTACGGAGTGGAATACGATTGAACAATGGAAATTTACGTTGTGGTGGTCATGCTTCTTTTGAGTGTACATCAAAATGGAATCACTCAATCGATAACAGAACCGACAACCACCACTCAATTAAGTATCGCTGCTGTTTCCGAAGGGATTGATTCCGAATCGAACTTCACCACGGATGACTATCTCTCATTCGAGACCAATTCGACAGAGGTGCCAAATTCAACCAGTGTTGGGCCGACAGAAGGTGCCAAAGCCCAAAGTACACAGCTGAATACAAAATCTTCGAAAAGCAATTTATGTACTTGCAACCTACAGGTAAGTTTGTTACTATTCATCGTATTATTGTCAGAGTGTATTCAAAGAAACAGTCGAAACATAGGTACATTTAGATGATATAATTCAAAATAACATTACAAATGTCACTGAAACTCTGTATTATCAACGTTGTTGCAAGTTTTACTTCTTGACTCGATACTCNTCTTTAATCAAACAATTATAGTAATTAACCCTTTACTTGCAAAAAGTATTTCTCAAATTATCACAAAAAACATAAATAACCTAATTTCGCATGCGCGACCACATAACCACAGAATATCGGAACTGATATTCTGTGACATAACTGTCAGCTTAAATAAAAAAACTATCACTTTCTAGCGACTGTTACGGTCACTGAGACTTCAGCTACCAGTTGATGGTAACATGATAATGAAAAACAGTTTGACTAGGAGCTAAGACAAAACCATTAGTCAAATGAGGTTGGCTGGCGATTGATAAACCGGCCCTAAGTGATGCGACCCCATGGTTGCCAAATGCGGTAAAATAATGACATTTGACAATTCGACATTTGCTAATAAATAAATAACCTATCTTTCTAGTTCCTAACTGATTTCCAGAATATGGCCGAAAAGAGATTTCTAGTCGTCCTATATGAAGTTGGGGCTCCAGAATGAAGAATCAGCTATGAAAAAATATAAGATGGTCTGTCCCAAAAATGAAAATGGGGAAGGAACTCAGAAAGATAGGTTATTTATTCATTAGCAAATGTCAAATTGTCATTATTTTACCGCAGTTGGCAACCATGGGGTCGCATCACTTGCGTCAATTGACGCTAGTTTTTACGTATTAGCTACGACTTATTCACATAAATTATTTATGTAAATACGGGGTGAAAGTATCTTAAAAATGTAATGGAGTAGGTATTCACGTAAATGTATTACATAAACATGTTCCGTATTTTTGAAATACAAAAAACAGGAGTAAGAACAACGTTTTTGAACAATTTTCTCAATAATACATGTAGTTGAAGTGTGACTAATCGCTGTTTGTTTATAGTAGATATTTCAGAAAAAACAATATTGGGGGTTTTCATTAACGCAATAGAGCGTTAGACAATGATTTTTCAAATTTTTGACTATTCATGTGTACGTTTGTGCATTAATATCGAAAACGGCCCAAACAGTTTTAGTGCGGTTTTCATTAATACATGGTGGTATAAGTGGACTGTAAAAAAATAAGGTAATCATTCAGATTTTGCGGACTACCTATATTCGATTATTTTATTTTTTATATTGGTACACTTGTCTCGAACATGTGTTCACAGTTTAAAGTTTTTAGCATATTTAGTTTGTTGGTGAAAGGCACAAAAGTTAGAAATGTTTTGCGTGTTCGGCGATATTTTGCTATCGTTAAAAATGGATCAAAGAATTTCCATCAAATTTTCTGTGTAAATGGAATTGAGTGCTCAAAAATAATTGAAATGTTGACAGTGACATACGATAATTGTACTCTGAGTCGGAAAAATGTTTACAAGTGGTACTTCACAGAAGGTCGAGAAGATGTGAATGACGACGCTCCCCTAGACGCCCTAGCACAACCGATGAAAACGTTGAAAAAGTGCAAAAACTTGTTATAGAGAATCGTCTAATCACTATCAGAGAAATTGCAGAGGAAATCGGTATATCGGTTAACTCATGCCATGCATTTTTTCGGATATTTTGAACATGGAGTGTGTGACAGCGAAGTTGGTTCCAGAATTGCTGAATTGCAGGAGAGCCCAGAAGCCAAAAAAAGCACGCCAAGTTCGATTAAACGGTTTAATTTTCCTCTTGAAGATGATCACTTGGTGATCGAAACACGTGTTGAAGTGTTAAAAATAACGATTTGTTGTTGGAATTAAACTCCAGTACCAGAATGGTTTGTTTTGTATAATCAAAAGCAATCTACCTCCGTCTTATACCCTACAACGAAAACAAGTAAGTAACAGTATGTGTTAACGTGTTGAATATATTTTTTCATTATTCAGATTTTTTGTAAAAATTTAATATTCAGTGATATTCTCAAAATCTATTATTTTGCTTTGAATTTGTATATACTCCTAGCGGGTTAATGCAGCAACACCTAAGAAATGAAGCAAATAACTAGTAACTATATAATCCGTCCTTCCAAACAACATAGTGCTCCAAAACATTATTATGCATAGTGCACGTGATCTCCCAGACAAGGCTTCCTGTTCAGAGTCGCACTAAGGACCGATCGATTTTTTTTTTATAATTTGGTATAGTAACATTTTTTGAGTGTATAGTGTAAGGACACAAATTAGCAGTTTTTTCAGCCGTATCAGTACTCGACATTTTAAAAATATTAAACTTCAAAATACTATATGTACACTGTACACACCTTAGGCGTTCAAACGCAACTAACCACTCTGACACTGTAACAATGAATTCCGCCAGCCGATTGCAGTTAAATCTGATTGGCTGGCGTAAGACAGCTTGTTCATTTTACTCAATAGATGCAAATGCGTGGTGATCATGCTTTGATATAGTTTAGGACTGTACCTAAGAAAAGTGTAAGGTTTATGCACATGGTAACATAACCACAATTATTCTTTATTTAATGGTTTACTATAATACTGAAAATTATTCCCCATATTTATATTTGGCGCAATTTAGTGCATGCCTATTTTTAGGTGTTTTCTGGCATTTAATCGTATTCGAGCGTGTATTCGCCAGAATGGAATTATTTGTATCAGATGTCAAATTCAATAATAAAAACAAATTTTTCAATAACGTCAATTATAATCGGATTTGTGCAAGTAACCATTTTCTAGCTTTATTTTGTACATCCTTACAACGTATTTGATGAAAAGTTTTCAGCACTTTATAAAGTGTAACGATCAAAATAAAGCAGAAACTGACAACTGACGTAATGTAATGTCAAATTCCGTTTCAAAACCAACCTCACGCTAGTTTTGAATCATGATGAATACGTTCCAAATCATAATTGATGTGAGGTCATCGTTTCAACTCCAGAATGAATGTATTGGAATCATAGACGAAAACGTTTTGAATACATGAGCGCCAGAAAACACCTCTTTTTTTGACCTAAGCTCTTAGTCACAGAATACCCTACAGAAGGGACACTCAGAACGGAACAGAAATCATGCATGCATGAATATCGAGGTGGTTACTGTCAATGTAAAAATTTCTTCGATTGGTTAGTGAATTTAAACATGGTAAACTTATGTTTGTTTGTTGTTCAAATGTTGGCCAACAACCTGCCGAAATGACATCGTAATGATTCATCAGATATACAATGAAATTGTATATATGATAATTTAAGTTTACCGCTAAAAATGACGTTGAACACCTCGAACACAGAATATAGATCACAGAAACGTATAAAAGAGACACTCATCTGGTGGCATTTTGTTGTTGATGGGTTAAGTTTCAACAGAGTTACTCTGTGTCTCAGTTATCAGATAAATGTTGGCTAACTTGTATGATTTTCACTATAAAGGGTTTTACAAAAACCGTGACACTTGTTTCGCTATACAATGGCTTTCTCAAGCTTAAAATAAATAAATCTCAGTTCTTACTCTTTGGATTGTGTTGCATAAACGGGCTGTGACTACATTTAGTATGGGTTTTCTGTAAAATATTTTTCTAATCATTATATAACTCTCTTTGGCATTAGTGTTAACGAGTATACAATAAATGATTTAAGCTTTTATTTGAACTACGTGACTATGATTTCATATGGCGATAATGATTATTGATCCAACCGAATAAGAAATGGCGATATATTAATAAATATTCCATTTGTTACAAAAAGAAATGTTTGTTGGAACTACAGAAATTATATACCTGATAAAGTACACATTCACATTCCACTAGAATAACATCCTGATAATGTTAACTTGATGGACGAAAAGTACGGAAAATATTTGATGGTTTGTTATGAAGGAGAAGTGACTTTTTTAAAGTGTCTTTATTTAATGTTTATTCTTAATAATGATGTTTTAGCCGTTGAAAACATTCGATGATGCCCAATCAGAGAAAATCAATAAATTTTCTTGGCAAAATTATGCAACTTCAATCGACCAGCGACACGTGTTCGATAGAAACGAAAAATTCCGCTACGGAAATCCTATATGGTTAGTCCGAAAAAATGGTATGGTGAAATTTCGTAAGTTATTTATCTGCCAGCAGCATTAAATTCACTATTGATCAATACATACTGTTTCAGAAGTGCCTAATAAATTCATCACCAATAGATGTATTCTAGAGGAAGATGTCCTTGCCATGAAAAATGTGGAAAACGTTTGTACACAGACCGACATCAGCGAAGAAAATCCGTATTTGAGCTTGAAGACATTTTTTGAACACATTTATGTAATTTCTGCTCCGAATTTGGTTAACATGTCAAAGTACAAACACGGTATATTCGAGGTAAATATTCATGGTTGGAACAATCAGTAGATATCCGCATTTGAGAAATGTTAATTATGAAACGTCATTGGAAAGATAATGGGAACAAGTCATAAACAGATTAAAAGTTGAAAAAATCTGAATTGTATGAAACAAATAATGGAAACACCATGCATTATTTCAAACTACAATAATCAACAGTAGATACTCGAGTTGTTTTCATTAACTGCCATACGTGAATATATAGTAATCTCAAAACGTTATTTGACATCTTGGAGCATTTCTGAAGTAATTTTTCCGTAAGAGGGCGCCAAAATGAAAAGTAACGTAGTGAACCATCACATAGATGAATTCTTTATAAAATTATCTTCTTGATGATGTCATACTTAGTACTTTCCTTATTAAAATTCTAAATATGGAAATTTGTATCAACAAATATGTGCCTTAAAGATATTCCATTTGTTTCAGTACCGGAAAATAAATGGATTAGTATTATTCCGTTCATTCACAATTTGATTTCAATTCAAGGTCCACTAGTAGACAGCTGGAGTGTCACACCAATAGGTGTGACACTCGAGTGGTTTTTATCAAATAATCGCCCCGGTTTTTCTCAGTCTACATCTGTTCAGTCGAGAAATGCTTTAATTGTGAATGATCAAATTAGTACTCATCCATTAATCTTTTAATTTTAATGGAATTGTTTATGAGTAAATACAATTTGTTATGTTTGATCTAAAGAATCAGGGTAGTTGAATTTTTGTGTATGGCCATACAATCTAGTTCTGGACAACTTTATTCAGAATCCATGATAATGATTGAACAATTTTTACCTACCGAGGAAGCTACGGTATTATGAATAGTGTCATTGATTTTTATCAAGTAACAGGTCAGTCAGTCCATTCTTAACTTTTCTCAGCGATATTTTTACGTATCATGAACATGGTTTTCGCTTTATTGTCAAAGCCAACTTGTTTCTGAAAAACAAAACATTTCCGAAACTCATTTTTCATCAAACATATGAGCTTGTCCCATGATCTTGAAACAAAATTTAAAGATTTTCAGCCCATCCCACATCTTATAACATCAATTCAAATATATATTTTAATGTTTTCATGTGTATATATTTTCAGGACTGTCCAAGAAATGTATGTTTGCCGATTGTTCCAAAAATTTGTGATCCACTGTCGAATGTTTGTGTTGATGTTGCAAAAAATGATTCAAGGGCGGCCGTTAAGTGCAGCTTCAGGTTGAGAGAATACAAAAACGATTGCGTGAATATTGTCAAAACAATAGAGTACAATTTCTATCATGGAAATGCTGGATTCAGTAATGTTGTAGTTTTGGCTACTTTGGAAAACATCACCAGTTCCTTCGGAAGAAAAGAAACGGAGTTCACTCAGAAGTTCTCTGTGAACTTTTGGTGGAATAACCAGACAAGTAATTTCTCTGAAAATTTGAGTGGAAATCCCGGATATTTGATAGGGAAACCTATTCTAACTGCAAAATTGGTGAATGTTGGAAACAAAACAGATGTATCGTTGAAGATAAAAAGAAATCCGCTGAAGTTCACCGAAAATTTTCTAACTATTCCCGAAAATGAATTGGGTGATTGTGTATCGAGCGAGAAAGCACATTTGACCGTAGAGTTTGGGTATGATTTATTAACCAAATGCAGATTGTGGCAAAACATTCCGACCGGAAACAGAACAGTCAACGGTACGGCAATATGTAGGAAAATACAAAAATCAATACTTGACTTGTGGAGTGTATATGAAAACAGAATTATAGGATCGTTTGGAAACTCAAATGCAAACGTTCTAAGTGACTGGTTGAAAATATTGTTGGAAGTCAGACCCGACTCAGTTATGAACAAAACTTTCGGATCGTTCAACCGCAAGAACGGACATGTATTTTGTTCTGGACTAGTTTCCCATTTGATAATCGACATTTATCATTCCAAAATCGACATCGATGAATTGATGAACCAAGAAAAAATTTTGGGAGTGTCTTATTCTTTTGATACTGTGAACAAGTCCTTTACTTTTCATAATCATACACGTTCCGTATTTTTCGAAATGGATTTAAAAACAAGTGTCGTATTTTATGATATATCTGGTCAGAAACAGAAAAAAATGGTGGATTCGCCAACAGTAAACATTAAGTTACCCCACGATTTTTTTTATCCATTTATAAAAGTCGATAATGGTGTTTTTAGGATGAAATCCACATATATGATGTGGTTTAACATTGTTTTTTTATTTGGATGTCAAGTTTTAATAAATGATATGTGATCAGGCATAGAGTTGACTACTCGCGAATGTTAAAACACCCCTGAATGTTCCATAAAACGTGTGAAAAGTTGACACCTATTTTTGTGAGTTTGAGATCTGTGAAGTTAATATCTGCTTAAAAATATTGAAACATATTTGAACGTTAAAACTTTTAAAAAAATATAATGAAGTGCGAGAAATGAGTTTTATGCTACGGAATAACATAATTTGTGAACAGAACGTCTTAATTGACGTGTTTCCGATTGACGTTGGCACTACTCAACTAACAGCTGATCGAAAAAAATTAATATAAAACATAGGTTATGTTTATTGTATTGGGGTTTTTGTGTTTTGGCATATAAAATTGTGAATGAAAGTAAGTTCATTATAGACACGAGAAACTGGCGAATATGTAAAATGAATTAATTTCACTCACGGAATGAACAAGAAACCACAACAATAAATGACATAACTTTTGCTTTACCATTTGGTTTAGTTTCAATATGTCCTGTAGATGCATCTGGACGTATTTGTATTGAGTCATCAACTACAACTATACCCGGCAACAGTCACAGAATAGATTGGTTACTATTCTATGACACAAGCACTGTATACATTGCTGTCAGTGTTCATGTCAACCGCTGATGACTGATGACATATGACACTAAATGCCATTGGAGAATGCCCATATTCGACCCAAGTTTTGATCTGTGTTATTGAACGTGATGTATAATAATTAGATAGAAATCATTCTAATTTCTGAATATGCTGGGTGGAATCTTCAGACACAGATTGCTGTTCAGATGTGTTGACTGCAAATAAGTTCTAATAACTCAGTAGAATAGTGACTTTTTCCACATAGTTAACACTATCGCTGTGAATGAAGTAGAATTGGTTTCGGGGTTGTGATACGATGTCAGCTATTTTATTTTCACACTGAATTGAATCATTTTCATGATCAAGTGGTGACCAAATGAATCATTCTCATCCGATTTCCGTGAACAAATCTGATGAAAAATTGAAGATGAATTGATATTCACAGAGATCCGAGTACAACTGTAGTGACGCAGCTTGACAATTTTCAATGTTGTTCGGGAATGAATTGATATTAGGTGAAATATTTTTTTACATTTTGGTCCATAAATTGAAGATCTGAACGAAATATAAAAATTCTTGCAGCCTCCATCAACATGTATATAAATTCAAGTCAATCTCATTTCTCGAGTCGAAAGTTTTCGACAAAACAAAAGCGAATAGATGTGTCATAAACACAAACACCACAGAATGGTATTGTTTACTATTCTGTGAATAAACGCTTGGACAAGCGCAGTATGTGTTTTCAAAAATGGTATTCTGTGAGAAGTGTCAAATTTACTGGAAAGGTGAACCTCAAAATGGCTGACACTTGTTGGTCTCGTATTTTTTGATCGATTCGAGAACGATTTCGAATGTTTTTCGGTGATTTTTTCGAATTTTTTGAACGAAAGTGTTTTCTAGTGCGATTCCTATTCATTCAGACTCAGAATGTTATATAGTGAAATCAATAAAAATGACTTTCTTCCATAGACATTCATTATTTACAATTGTGTGTGGTGTAAATATGGGATTATTTAGATCATAATGGATAATTTACCTTCAGCAACAGACAGGTGAATAACTAGTTAGCTGGCCTGATTTTGAACAAACGTTTCCAGAAATAACAATTGAAGGGCGCTCGATTATTTAGCACTTACGTCATTCTTATTATTCTTACTGTCTTGTCATAATCTGAAGAAAACATTGAAAGTCGTATGTCTAGGCTAGGCTCGTGTTACGGTATTGTTTAGAATAGTACATGAGACATGACATAGGATTCTGGAGCCTTCTCTCTCAGTTGTCATTTTCATTTGTTTATTACCTAATTTTATATGCATTCAGTCTAAAGAATAATGTAATCTGCCCACTACATGTTTCATTGAAAAGAACATGTAGACATGCCATTGTCTAGATTTGTAGTGTATCTAGTAATAATAGCCTTTCTTTTCTAAATTTTGTAGCAGTCAAAAATTCAATTTACAATTTGTATTTAAAGAAATTCATTTATTCACAAATTTATATGTATACAGCCATTTTAGTATGTTGATAGAAATTACAACAGAAAATATGAAAAATAAAATCTGAGAGTCTTTTTATTGGGTGCATAGAAAATAAGTGTAAAACTCACATTTTCACTTACTGAAAATCTGTGTTCCATTATTCATGATATAAGATTTTATTTTGATGTTTAACTTGAGAAATACCTCATCAAAATATTGATGTATTTTTTGTGAAACAGCAGTGACCTTTTTTCATTGAAGCATCTTCCGAATGTTTGTTCAAATTCAAGTTTGTTCAGTTATTTATATTTTTTGATAGTAAGGGTACTTTTCTCTCAACCATTTAGTATGATGAAAAAGAGGTTTGACATCAAAATAAAATGTAATACTAAATATTAGATCAGATATAGCTTATAAATCTCATTTAGGGAGTGTACTTCTATTAAAGCCTTCTATATCCTGCATTGGCTAAGGTGGATGAATCCCTATGATCGTCTTAGTTACATAACCTTCTCAAATATCTTCCTTCTCATATTCTTTCCTATTTCTCTCAAACTTACAACTCCGGTCCTTTTCAGATATTCTTTCACCTCTTTTGACCAGCTAGAGCTAGGTAGTTCTTTTTCTTCCTTCCCTTTCGCTGGTTCCCAGTTGGTCATTCTCACTATATAATGTTCTTTTATTCTCCATTAGTGTTCCTGCCATCTGGCTGGCTCTTTGTTTCTTGATTTCTAATATTCTTCCAACCCGTGTTAGGAATCACACGTTAAAAGGTAAGACCTCGTTAGTCTTTAACTCGCACAAGTTTCGACTTCTGAGGGTTGTCGTTCGTAGGGGTGCGACAGCTGATTAACGGACAACGCCAGCAAAACGTCAGGAACGAATTTAAAAAATCCAAACCCTAAAGATAGTGACACTGAATTAATACATTTTATGTATGTAAGATCAGTATAATAGATAGATAAACTGCATTCCAAACAGGTTTACACCCGATTATATGTGTACAGTCAATGTCATGGTACATAAAATATATGATTTTAAAATACACAGAGTAAATAAACACCTAAAATTACGTACAAGAGAAACATTAATAAAAACAGGTATATATGGCACATTTTTTTTAAATGACTGTCTCATTTTTAATTCATCACAGCAAAAAAAATCCAGACTTTGATGACGACTAGACCATTCACTTGCCTAAGGCAGCGATTGAGTGGAGACTCTGATCAGGTGTCTACATAGAAAACCCTATTGTGATTTCTTAGACTAGCACTAGTAACATGAAGATTGATCACACTGAGGAGTTCAGGTACATTTATTATCGGATTAAATATGTTGAATATAAATAGTACATCATTCAAGCTTTGACGATCCGACAAGGTTGGCATGTCAAAATGTTCTAGTTGAGCCCTATAGGAGATCATAGAGAGAGACTCTTTATTTTTTTTGAAGTAGGTGTACGTAAGAAATTTCTTCTGTATTTTTTCTATAATTTCTGAATGAAATGCTGTTTGCGGATTCCAAATTGTTGAAGCATATTCGAGCTTTGACCTGACAAAGGCATTGAATAAAAGAATTCCTAGTTCCCATTTGAAATCCCTGACGTTTCCTAAAACAAAACCAAGCTTTCTGTTTGCATCACGTACAATATATTCTATGTGATTTCTGAAGTTGAAGTTACTATTAAATATGACTCCTAAATCTTTGATTTGAGCAAGTTTTTCCAGTTTGGTGCCATTTATTGAATATTCCGTTGGAGTAGTAACATTTTTCTGTGAAAAAGACATAACTTTGCATTTACCCTCATTCAGCATCAAGTTGTTTGTCTCACAAAAGATAGTGATAGAATCTGAGTCTTTCTGAAGGTTTTCACTGTCTCTTTCATCGTCTGTCTGTCTGTCTCATAGTTTGAGATCATCTGCATAGAGCAGGAATTTGGAATGTCTTATATAATCAACTATATTGTTAAAATTGTGCCTAATTTTTGGAAAAGAAAAGTTTTCGCTTTCTACTTCCTTATCTTTTATTCTGAAAATGTGGGAATCTTCAAAAGCTTTCCTTCTTTCAATTCGATAAGTACAATTTATTTTCATCAATTGTATATTTTTTGTATCGGGGTATAACCCTTCAATAAATAGCTCATAATATTAACAAAATCCTACTTCGTTACAGTGTCCAATCGGCGGCTCCGAAGTGTGTGAACGGCTCCATGAGGCGGCCGTCTCCAAGTCCTTGCTCACCGGCAGGTGGTGGGGGGCGGCCCGCCTCCCTCATGGATCACACTCAGAGTCAACCCCAGGTGGTGCGCGTGGTCGTCAATCGTGACGAGAAGGGTTACGGGATGAAGGTTTCCGGCGACAACCCCGTTTACGTGCAAAGCGTCAAGGAGGGTGAGTATTCTTTCGTGCATATTATGGTGAAGTATACTAATAGTAAAAAAATTGAAATGAAAGCTTTTATTTACTAGCTGTAAAATGAAGAGAATAAATTTTAAAACAATTCAAACCCATTAATTTATCGCATTCAAAAATTTATAAACGAACCATTTGAAAAAAAAAGTATTTGTTAAAGGGGTATTACACGGGTTGTCTTTTATATATCGTGATTAGAGAACAAAAACAAATGTTAATAATCGAAAATAGCTTTATTGTTTTTCAAAATATTCCCCATGAAGATCTATACACTTTTGCATGCGTTTGAACCGACTGTCGAAGAACTTTTGCCACTCTAATTGAGGTATCTCCAAAACATGCATTCTGAATGCAGCAACTGCTTCTTCAGGTGTCAAAAAACGTTGACCTCTCAGTTCGTTTTTTATGTGCGGGAATGAAGTCATTCGGTGCCAAGTCAGTACTATATGGCGGATGACTCATCAAACCGATGTTTTGGGTGCTCAAAAATGCAGTTATTTGAGCCGATGTGTGAGAGCTCGCATTGTCATGGTGAAGAGTGA